AGCGAACGAAAGCAATAAAAATCACTAATTCTTACTTGATGAAATCAAGACACTTGTGGATAGAAGCGGAATCGCAAGTACAGCACGAAATTCGTTCGAAGTCCATTTTTGTGAGCATTCTTCCATCCGGATGGCGCAAAATTTTCAAGCCGTTGATGATCTTCCAGGAAGAAATGTTCACCATCTGAACACAAGGAAAACTCCGTTCATGGCAAATGTAAATATGAAATATTACAAAAGTATATACGAAGTTACTTACCCTAAAATCCCATAGATAAGAGCGGTTTAATTTACCGGTGAAAAATGAATTGGAATGAAATTGAAATTGAATGCAGTCACCCCTCTAACTTGATGGATGGATAAATAAAAATCGGAGAAGAAGTTTAGAAGAAGCTCCGCCCCTCAACTCTAAACCCCGCCCACTTAATAAACAATTCATATAGAAAAATAGCGATTTTAACGGAATTTCTGCCGGAATCTCTCTAGAAATGCCGGAATTTGATCTCTGGATAGAACTTGAAGAGCCCATTCGATCAGTAAAATTCCATAGATAAGAGCGGTTTAATTTACCGGTAAAAAATGATTTTGAAAAAATATTTTTATTTTTATTTTATTTTTGAAAAAATATCTATGGACCGCTCTTATCTATGGGATTTTAGGGTATTTCAACAGCTAAAAATCTCAATACCTTTCATGAAGCTCAGCCCAAAAAATACATGCTCATTGATATTCATGTGCTGAACGACCAATGAGAAAATATCACGAGCCACCGCATCTGTTCTGCACAGGATACCTAAAAGCAGTGTAACTCGATATTTATTTATTTATTTATTTTTTATTTATTTATTTGTGATTTCAACGCACAGCGTAGGATGTGCGGCTAACATCCTCAACAAAAATTGGTTGCTAATTAACACATATAATTAACCAAAGTGAATCGACTTAGTGGCGACAGACGTTCAGAGCTCGATTTTAAATGGAAGCGACAGTAAAGGATGTATATTGCAAAATTGATCGGCCAGATATTTAACAGTTATGTTTGAAGATGCTAATTACAAATATTCAGTATTAGCCTTCAGTATGTAGTATCAGGTTGTATGCTTGACGAAGATCTCTGCCGCAAGAAGCACCTGAAGTAGATGGTTTAAAGTCAGTTACGCTTCGCGTGAATTGAATCCCGCCGACAAAGTCACCGACTTCTGTAAAGCAGCCACAGGGGAGTGTCAGGGGTGCATGGTAGGTCAAAAAGCCTTTGACGTATTTTCAATGTTCGCTGATTGTCAAGGGATTTACCGGGTTTGCCACTTGAACATTAAAAGGATAAAAGGATAAAGCATTTGCCGTTGATCAATCCCTTTTGGGATGCGGCACGCATTCTACTTCCATTTGTACATTCGTAGTGGCGTTTGAATGCGATGTGGCCTATACAATGACTTGCGGGGGCCAGCCGATGTACAAGTCAGTGTTTTTATCCTCCCAGACAAGTCTGGTACCAATTAACCGACCCCGGAGGGATGGAAGGCTTGGTTGGCCCGGGCGACTCACGACCCAGGATTTGATCCCCGGACCGCTCGCGTGGTAAGCGTGCCACTTGCCACTACACCACTTCCGCCCTTAAAAGCGCGGAAATGGGCGAGCCTAATAGGTTTAACTCGTCTTCGAGTAGCCCAACAGCCTCTCGACAAGAATGGGGGCATACTTCACCGTGAGCCGCAATTCCTCTGAAATTGAGGTCACGCCCGTCTGTGCCCCATGGGTAGGATCTAGCCTAAAAATACTTCTCGATCTTTCAATAACAGGGGCGATCTTAGCTTCCATTGACTTCTCTGTCTGTAAAACCCATGCTCTTCTCACCCCTCAACCTTCAGAAAATAGCAGTTTAAGCCTCTTTCCAAGGACACGGAACTATCACTTCCATGTCCCTGGGGTCCCTTGCAATCTCGTTATCATAAATTCAAGGTTATGACCCATCGCTTGACGTCCCTTTCTTGTTCAATTTCATCTTGTGAGTATTTACATAGACTTTTCAGCTGACAACTGAACTGATAACTTGAATTCCATTGCTTTTCCCTTATCAGCACATGTTTCCCACCAAACTGCATGACTATACGTAACTGACCTCAATACGCTGACCATTGAGCAGTTCCACTTGGACGTCCGCTTGCTCTACTCGCAACAAAGTCATCTTCTTCTGGAACAGAGTGATTGAACTCGGGCCAAAGCTTGGACTATAAATAGTCCTAGCGACAGTACAAATATAGAGAGCCTAAGACATTTTAGGATCACCTTCTTGGCACTGGGGGCTTTAAGACGTATGCTTGGATGCCGGGAATGATCGTAGAACTCCGGCACAGCTCTAGTCTGAAAAAGGACAAAAATTGGTGACAAAAAATCATTTTAAATGTAAACTACAAAGAAACTTCTAGGTATCCAACTCACCTTCCTCTTCCCTCGCATACTTCGCTGCGATTGTCGCCCACTGATCCGATGTGGCAACAACGAGTTCCGTCGTTCAAATTGAGGCGAATCTATAAAGAAAAATGTTTCTATTTCCGTTTCTCGTCGTGGGATATGTC